CCTTGCTTGGGTACAAGTTGCAAATAGTTTAGGAAATTTGACTTAATACAATAACAGGCCTCCTCCACATTCAAGTCCCTGGGTCTGTCAGTCCAGATGACTTCATTAATTATTTTTTCAAGTTCAGCAAAGTTTGCCTTTTTGAATTAAAACACTTATAGATCTATTTTCTATCCTTCAATTTAATTTAAAGTGGATAAACTCCTGATCACCGATTCCAAGATTATGCTTGATGACCATATATTTTCTATGACCATCCCTAACACCCTCAGTTTCTGAAAAAACAAATAAAAAATAGTATTATTTTCTTTCTGGGTTAATAGATATTTGGTGAATAAATCACTTAGCTAACACATCCAGGAACAACTTGGACCCACTGTTATTAGTGGCATTTGTTCTTTTAGTATATATCTAGGAAAGTAAAGCTTTCCATAATGTTATTAGAGAGTATTATTTATCTCTCTAATAACATTACAAAGATCTCTATCCATATCCAAATCCAATCCTGAAGGTCTTCTGCAGGATCTTAGCACTACCCTAGTAGAACCTCTTTCAGTTTTCCAAACTGATTTTTATCCATACTCTTCCTTATTCTTTAAACTCTATTGGATCACCTACCCCACCAGCTTTTCCTTTATTTTTCTTTCCTGAACAGCACATAGCCTTTAATAATGATTTCCAGTCATGATTGCTATTTCACTGTGTTTATGTTATCCCTATACCTGCACCGGTAGTTCTAGTTCTTCTATTCTGTTGCCTAGACTTCTTGCGTTAGAATACAAACATTACAGTTGTTCCTTAGTGAACACACCCAGTTTTCTAGGAAGCCTACTTACAGTCCTTTCACCAACTATCACCTACCTAGATACTGTTTTCATCAGTCTTAGTACTTACTTTCTGTCCATCCTTCTATGCTCTGAATATTCTTTCACCTGAGGTCATAACCTCATTTTGTTTCTGCATTTCAACAGACAGGACTACTGAAAGGAGCTGCAACAAAACTGAGAATCGTGGCTACTGAGTCCAAGGTAAGAATGTAAAGGCTGCAGAATTGGGCTTGATATACGCTTTTATATTTTAAAAAGGAATTCTGCAGAGCTGTTTTTAGAAACACCTGTCACTTTTTCGCTATTTATGGCAATAAGTAGTGCTGGTGTCTTC